TGAATATTTATTTATAGGCTCCTACTATGATGCTGCATTTTTTGGAATACAATTTTGTTTTTTGCTTTTTGGTACTTTTTTGTTCTTAACTGGTACTTTTTGAAGTTTTTGTAATATTGAACATCTTCTATCTATTATATATATAAAAGAGTAGCGTTACTAACTGACTCATCATCGCACAGCCCAAACGGCTGAACCTAGAATCATATAATTTTGACAGTAGATGTGTTTTTTGTTATGTAGATCCACTAAAGAGGGATTTTTGGTAATTTGTACATTTAGGGGTAAAAAAGGGGGAAAACGGGTAAAACAGGTTTTCTTAATTATCTTACCTTATATTAGTGATACAAGAAAAATTTTTAATGCACCTGTATCTGCTCTTAAAATAAGCAGATGGGTGTCTGGTACTTTTTTGAAATTCGCACTTTTAAGGGGTGAAAATGTGTGACAAAGATGTTTTTGTTACCTTTTTTGGCCCTTTATAACTTTTTATCTAATAAACAAAATAAAATTTTTGTAAATATTTTCAATATTTCTCCCAAAATTAAGAGACACCTGTTTTGTACTTTTTTAAAATTCCGTCCATTTTGGGTGTAAAAGGGAGAAAACTGTATTTTTCGTACTTTTTTTGAGCACATTAAGAAAACTTTTTTCGATTTATTAAAGTATTCCTATTCAATTACGAACTAACTCTGTAATATTTGTTGAAAAAAAATTTTTGCTATTTCACTGGGGAAAAAAAGTACCAAAACGGGGAAAAACGGGAAATTTAATTTTATACAAACTCATTGAGCCAATTTTTATAAAATTTATTTACTCACACAAAATAAGCTATTGGTATATTATTTTCGAATTCGAGTACTAACGCCTATATAAGATCAAATTCGAGTAAATTGTTTGGTACTTTTTGAAAGCACAATTTTTTTGAAACAAATGAATGTAGATTTGAATCTTTTGAGTTATATCTGTGATATAGAGATTTAAATACGAAACATTTTGTAAACTTAATTCTCGAAAAAGTTTATTTTTAAGCGAAAATTGGAAAAATTTTACTACTTTTATTAGTACTTTCCACTTTTGTACTTTTTATCTCATAAATGGTACTTTATAAATTTTCTAAAATATTCAACCTAGGAACAAAAATTTGAACATACATGGTCTTGACTGAGTAATATTCTGTAAGTGGAAACTCTTTGGTACTTTTCCATACTTCAAATGGTACCTTTTGGATTCTCTATAATGGTTAAACCGAACATATGACAAACGGTCCTTATTAAATTAGATGTTATTGAGAGGGATTTTTGTACTTTTTCGTTTTTCCGATACTACTTGTTGATATTTTTACGATATTGAATATAGAAATATAAAATTTAAAATGTAGGGACCTCAGTGAATGAGAATCTACTGAAAGGGACTTTTGGTACTTTTTCATTTATCAAATTATATTTTTTAATTGTGTATAATATTGAACACAGAAACATATTTTTTTTATTATTAAATGAGACGGACCTCTTATAGATTAAGAGGTATTTTATAGTACATTTTTTCAAATAGTACTTTCGAAATTTTCTAAAATGTGGAAGCCAAATGAATGAAACTAAAAATACAATCTTCTTACTGAATGCGAATTTATTCACATGATATTGAACGTAAAAAACTGAAACATTAAAAAAATTTTTAATCAATTTTAATTTTCTATAAAAGTAAACAAAATTTTGTATGTATTTAATTTGTGGTAAGGGTATGCTAGTATCAACATAAAGCTATCATCAGTAAAACATTAAGTCTTTTTTTTTTTTTTTTCTTAATAATAAGAAAAAAATGCTCACAATGTGGACTCATGTATTTACTTGCCGAATGACGCAAACTAATTGGAGCCAAAATTAGTCAATTTTTCTCTGCCTCTCTTTTATTTCATTTGTTTTTAGAGAGAAAACAGCTACTCACAATCATTGCTTACAGCACTGAACATCAAGAAGTGAAACGCTGTCAAAAAGTACCTAACTATACTGTCAGTCGGTACCTAATTCTATGAATATATTAGTAGAATTCTCAAGTCAACATAGTTGCAAAAAGTCGGATTTAAAAATATTGAAAAAATGTAAATTTTTATTTTAAAAGGTTTCTTTAAATATTTTGCAACATAATTAATCTATAAACATTTTAGAAGAATGTATGTTGGCTTTTTAATCTGCAATTTTGAAAAAAATAAATAATTTATTGGAAATATTTTTTTCTTGTACAATACGAAAATTTACAACATTGTTTTAATTTCAACAACAAAAATTTAATGTCAAAAAAATAAAAAAATATTTTTTTCGTTTTTAAAAAATAGTTTCTTTTCGGACATTTATTTAAATTGTGCAAAAAAGTAAGAGTTCTATATTCGGCTGTGCCGAATCTTATATACCCTTCACCATGATGTATTAAAAAACAGTCAATTTTATGTTTCTGGGTTCAATGTTATAAAAATTACAAAAAGTACCTTTTGTAGAACGAAAAAGTACCAAAAAGTCACCTTCTATGGGTTCCCACTTAATCCAAGCTCTACATAATTAATTTCATGTTTCTAGGTTCAATATTATAGAAATTTCGAAAAGTACCTTTTGAAGAACGGAGAAAGTGCCAAAAAGTGCCTTTTTATAGGTTTTCACATAATCTGGGCTCTTCATACTTAATTACATATTTCCAGATTCAATATTATAGAAAATTCAAAAAGTGCCTTTTAAAGACTGAAAAAGTACCAAAAAGTCCCATTTTAGACGTTCTAACTTAATCCGAGCTCTACATGCTTAATTTCATATTTCTAGGTTTAATATTATAGAAATTACAAAAAGTACCTTTTGTAGAACGAAAAAGTACCAAAAAGTCCCCTTTTATGGGTTTCCACTTAATCCAGGCTCTACATAATTAATTTCATGTTTCTGGGATCAATATTATAGAAATTTCAAAAAGTACCTTTTGTAGAACGAAAAAGTACCAAAAAGTCCTCTTTTATGGGTTTCCACTTAATCCAGGCTCTACAAAATTAATTTCATGTTTCTAGGTTCAGTATTATAGAAAATTCAAAAAGTACCTTTTGTAGAACGAAAAAGTATCAAAAAGTGCCTTTTTATAGGTTCTTACCTAGTCAAGGCCCTACATGCTAAATTTCATGTTTCTAGGTTTAATATTATAGAAAATTCAAAAAGTACCTTTTGTAATACGAAAAAGTACCAAAAAGTCCCATTTTTAGGTTCTTACCTAGTCAAGGCCCTACATGCTAAATTTCATATTTTTAGGTTCAATATTATAGAAATTACAAAAAGTACCTTTTGAAGAACGAAAAAGTACCAAAAAGTCCCCTTTTATAGGATCTTACCAAGTCAACGCCCTACATGCTAAATTTCATGTTTCTAGGTTCAATATTATAGAAAATTCAAAAAGTATCTTTTGTAGAACGATAAAGTACCAAAAATTCCCTTATTATAGGTTCTTACCCAGTCAAGGCTCTACATGCTAAATTTCATGTTTCTTGGTTTAATATTATAGAAAAGTCAAAAAGTACCTTTTGTAGAACGAAAAATTACCAAAAAGTCCCCTTTTATAGGTTCATACCTAGTCAAGGCCCTACATGCTAAATTTCATGTTTCTTGGTTTAATATTATAGAAATTTCAAAAAGTACCTTTTGTAGAACGAAAAAGTACCAAAAAGTCCCTTTTTATAGGTTCTTACCTAGTCAAGGCCCTACATGCTAAATTTCATGTTTCTTGGTTTAATATTATAGGAAAATCAAAAAGTACCTTTTGTAGAAAGAAAAAGTACCAAAAAGTCCCCTTTTATGTGTTCTCGCCTAATCCGGGCTCTATATACTTAATTTCATATTTCTAGGTTTAATATTATGAAATTTTCGGAGGTTGTCTCGGATTTTTGCTCATATCTCCGGTATTTATGGACCGATTTTGCTGATTTTAAATAACGATCTTCTCGAAAGTATGTCTAAAAGAATTATTAAAGGTTCGGATCTCGCCGATATCTGGGGTCCTCTAAAAACTGATTTCAACAAACATACAGACGGACAGACAGACGGACATAGCTTAATCAACTCCGCTACCTATAAGGATCCAGAATATATATATAGAAATTACAAACGGAATGACAAACTTATATATACACTTCTCACGAAGGTAAGGGTATAAAAAGACAGATCTCACAATTTTGTTTTTTTTTTTTTTTGAGAAAAACAAATACATAAACAAACAATTAGGAAAGTATAGTCGGGCATAACCGACCATATAATACCCTACACCATGAGTATATTTTAAAAAATTTTTATTTTTCACAAAGAAACTTTTATGTTGAATTTTACGTTAATTCCAAAGTATTTAAGCAATTTATTGATAAAAAACAAATTTTCTAAATGAGGCTTTATATAGGAGTATAGGTCAAACATGGGCCGATCCTCATTAAATTTGGGAAAAGGATATACTTTTAAATAATAGTTAATTATGTTGAGTTTCATTGCGATACAAATGGTTACAAGTCAATTTTAGACGTTTAAGATATATTTTGAAGGGGGGTTTGTATGGGGGCTAGGATCAAATAAGGGCCGATCATTACGAAAATCTGCAGTGTCATTTACACTTATATAAAACTTATTTGTGCCAATTTTTAGAGAGATAATAGTATATTTGACGTAATTATGGCATAAAAAGGGCCAAATCGGGAGGAACGGTTGTATGGGGGCTAGGTGAAATAATGGACCGATTTCAACCATTTTCAATCTTGAAAATTGCGGTCTGTACCTTGCGCACAAGGTTTACATGGACATCAGCACAAACGTATAATACCCTCCCCACTATAGTGGTGTAGGGTATAAAAATTTAAGCTTATATATTATTGCATCATATTTTGGAGTCATTTTTAATTGTGTTTTCGGTGTGTAAAGAGTAAATAATAGAAAGGTTGCAAATTTAAAATATAGCGTGTCCATAGAAATATTATGTGCAAAAACTTTACAAATTAGTTAAAAGTAAACAATACAATTATATTGCCTACAATAACAAAAGTCCATAAACTTAAAATTTCTTGGAACAGTGCGTAGCATTAAAAAATTGTGTGCAAAAAATACCTGAAAAGATTTTGTCATTTTTTTGGAATTTTTTGGAGGTCCAAAAAAAACTACCCGGCTTAAAATATTGTGTGCAAATATATACCTACATACCTATGTACATAAATAAATCTAAAAAAAAATAAATCAAAACATTGGAAGTACATATTTTAAGGCGAAACAACAACAATTATAATAGTGTCTGCACATACAAGGTAAGTCAAAACATGATAATAAAAGAAACAAAGTTGAGGTGACGTAGGCGTCAAGTATGCAGAAAAACCAAACCAATCAATAGTTTTTAACGGCGGCATGACCGTTTTTAATACATTATTCAAAATTTCTCATAAAAATATAAATCCAAATTTGTATACAAATTTTATTTTACTTTTTTAATAAAAGTTTTTAAATGTTTCTGTTTTTTATACCCTCCACCAGCATTAGTTGTGATAGAGGGTATATATAACTTTGTCATTCCAGCAAAGTATATATATTCTTGATCCTTATGAAATTCTGAGTCGATTTAGCTATGACCGTCTGTCCGTCCGTCTGCCTGTTTGTCTGTGTAAAACACGCTCACGTTAAAACGAAGCAATAAAAATTCACTAAATTCACCCAAAACATTCTTTATTATCCGGTATAGTTTGGTATTGAAAATCAGTAAAATCGTTTGACGACATAAATAGTTATGAGTAAAAATTTCAGACTACCTCAAAAAAAAAAAAGTTTTTTGCCAATTCTTAAGTAGTTTTCTCAGAAACTACCAAAGATATTTCGATGAATTTTTTCAGACATTATTTTTTTGTGTCAGGGATCAAGTATGTTCAAACTCATAACAATTGTTCCAATATTTACCATAGCCACCATACAAAGGTCTATATTTCCGGAAATTAGTTTACCGTTAGTAACTCCCTCAAATATATCGGTAACAACACAAAATTTTGTACATACAAATATAAAATGAATAATAATCATACTACCAACGTAGATCTCAGTCGGTCCACAATTGGTCATAGCTTCACCTACAAAAATCACCTAAACGCACATATTCCATTGATAAATAAAGCTTTTGTGATAAAATTCAAGCTGAATATGTTTTATGTACATACAAATCATTCTACCAAATTACTTTTCGGATCGGTCCATTATTAGTCGTAGCTCCCATATAAGGCCCACTTCCGAAAATCACTTAAACGCACATATTTCATTGTCAAATAAAGGTATCTTGATAAAGAGGCCCGAAATTGGTCATAGCTCCCATATAAGGTCCACTTTCGAAAATCACTTAAATGCATATGTTTTATTGATAAATAAAGCTATGGGTATAAAGTTCAACTTGAATATGTTTTGTGTACATATAAATCATAATACCAATTTTTCCCCGGATAGATCCATTATTGGTCATAGGTCCTATATAAGGAACTCTTCCGAAAATCATTTAACTCACATATTTCATTGTCAAATAAAAAATTCAACACAAATACATATGTTTTGTGTACATACATATGAATCACTGTACGAAATTTTTCTGGAGAGTCCCGAAATTGGTCATAGCTCCTATATATATAGTCCATTTCCGAAAATCACTTAAACGCACATTTTTATTTAATTAATAAATCTATTGGACTAATATTCGACTTGAATTTCTTTTTTTTGCATATAAATCATTATACGAAATTTTTTCTTGATCGGTCCATAATTGGTCACAACTCCCATATAAGGATCATTTCCGAAAATTACTTAAACACACACTGACAATCAAAGTCATCGGGATAAAATTCGACATAAATGTGTATTTTGTATATATAAATAGGAAGTTGAAGACATCAGCAAATCAAATGAAGGCATTTTGCCAATACTTCACCATTCTATTGGGCGATTATATACCCATATACCTTATATAGGGGTAGGGTCAATTATAAACCGATTCTCATAAAATTTGGCAGATAGATTTTGTCTCGCAAGAAAATTATTGATGAATGTCGAATTTCATTGCTATACTCGTGTTTTAAGCAAGTAGGGCGTTAAAATTACTTGATGATGGGGACCTTATAGGGGAGGTAGGGTAAATTATCGATTATGAACCGATCCTCAAAAAATATGTGGTAGAGAGATTTAGGCTTGTATGAAACATATTTGCGTCAAGTGTCATCGCTGTATGCGTACTTTTAAGGCAGTACTGAGTGTTAAAGTCATTTGCTGAAGGGGACCTTATATGGCCTGTAGGGTCAATTATGGGCCGATCCTTATAAAATTTGACAAAGAGATTTAGGTTCCCATAAAACATGTTTATGCCGAATTTCACCGCTATATATGCTTCCTTTAGCCAATTATGAGCGTTAAAGTCATTTTCTGAAGGGGGACCTTATATGGGGGCTAGGCGAAATCGTGGACCAATATTGCCCATTTTCAATACCAAACAACCTGCATTAGACGAATATTTCGACAAACGGAATGACAAAAACAATATACCCCCCATCTTTTTTGATGGTGGGTTTTCTAAATAATTTATGTACATCTATATATATAAAAATGAATGTGTGTTTGTTTGTATGTTGAAATTCCAAGTGGGCGGGAAGCCACGACCATATTAAGAAAATACTAAATCCCTATATTTGAGATAATATAAAAGTTAAAGTCCTCAAATTTTTCGGAGCTACTTTAGTGTCAATATAATTATTAAGGACAAAAAGTAGGCGGACTATCATTAGGGGGCGTGGCACCTCCCATATAAATTAAATACAAAAATACGTTTATCTTGGAAACTATTACAGTTAGAATCTTCAAATTTTGCACGAAAAACTTTAACCTCCATCTAAACATTTTGGGTAATAAATTGGCGGACTACCCATAAGGGGAGCGGCACCTCCTATATTAATTAAAGACAAAAATTCGTTTATCTGAAAAACTAATGGAACTAAATTCTTCAAATTTCGCACGAAGAACTTAAATATTCATCTGAACATTTTGGAGGAAAAAAAAAGCGGACTTTCATCTGGGGGGTCTTGAAGCCCCCACATGAATCAAGTAGAAAAATTCGTATATCTGAGAAACTATTAGAGCTAGAATCTTCAAATTTTACATGGAGAACTTTGAAATTCATGTGAACATTTAGAGCATAACGGGCGGACTTTCAATGTGTGGCTTGGCACAACATATATGAATTAAATACAAAATTTCGTGCATCTTGGAAACTCTTATATTATTCAAATTTTTTATAGATAGAAATTGGCGATAGATAGAAACTGACGAACTTGCAATCATTTGCTTGACATCTTTCATATGTAACATATAATAAATCGGTATTTATTTATACATATTCCTTTTAGGGTAGCAAAGCACACTGGGTATAGCTAGTTTTTTATAAAACTCTGTGTGTTTAGGAATCACTTAGAGTTAGGTACTCCTGTCAAAAAGTCGGACTACTTGTTATATAAAAATATAATTAATTTGAATTGTTTACTATTTCTCTTTTCATATCTTCCGTTCCTCCACCTGCAGCAGTAATGGACGAGATACGGTTGAAAAAACAAAAAATTGATGTACAGGTGGACGACAATGACTTTTCAATTCCAGCCACTGAAAATATACAACGCAAAAAGTGTGCTAAAATAGATGACGGTCTAGCGATTAAGTACAATAAACTTGTCTATAACTTTGAAAAAATAATTATCTCTAAGCATTTTCGTAAATACTGTGTTTTCTTTGATATATTCTCAAAAAGACATTTAATAAATCACAAATATCGTATAGACAAGCTGGAGACACTTAATCGCTTTGACTTTTCCCCGTACGCCTATGAACAATGTATATGCTTCAGATCGGACTTCTCCACCGCCGCCACCACCAATATGGGTTTCATAATCTGTTTCGAGAGTCTCTTTATGGAGCGCAAAAAGTATAGAAATCACAAAGAGGAGAAGAGCGAGTATATGAAACAGCTGTATAAAAAACATTCCATTTTGTTCAAGGACAATAATTTTTATGATAATCGAATCAACGAATGTTTTATGCAAAAGATTCGTAAATTTGAAGAACTCAAATCAATACTCTTGCTAAACGAAAGCCTACGAAAGACTCTACTTAAACACATGTACTCACAAATGCCAAACACAAAGAGATGTCTGCTGTGCAAAAATACCAACTTAAGCACATTCGAGAGCTGGCGAATTGTACGCTTCTCCAATTGCCTCAACATGAGTAGCCTTTGTGACAATGTTCTAAGACTGGATGATGAAATGTTCCTAATACCCAACTATATGGACTGTGAAGTGTACGCGGATGATGTACGTATCGTCGTCTACAAAACAACCAAGGCCAATATTGTGCTTCTATTCGAAGACATCTTTTACGTCATCAAATCTCATAACCTGATAATTATATTCGACCTTGAGACGTTTCGAAAGGTGCAATTTTTCTGTAATTTTAATTTTTACTTTATTAGACAATCCAAAACGTATACAGATACCAATTATATAAATATAAATTGTCATTGACAACACAAATCAATTAGTGGTATTTTATTCATTTCCAACCAGGATGTTTCCAACATTAAGTTTTTCTCGATGGTATTGAACAACATTATGGAGTATGACCTGTATACTGGATAGATAGTATTTTATGTTAGAGGCCAACAGAAAATCGGGTAGGTATAGTTCCTCATTGTTGTTCTTGTCTATATCTTGTTGGGCATCGGTAATGTCGTTGGCAATTACGAGTTTGAGGTTATCCTCGTTGAGTAGGAACATCTTCATGTCCAGCATATTATGATGGATAGAATCAAACTTTTGTTTGCGGTAAAAGCTTTCACCAGTAAATGACTCACACTCGCTCAAATTTATACTAAAGCTTTCACTGATGTCGTCCATACTCAAGCTCGAGTAGTTTATGTAATAGCTCCCGTTTTCATGTACAACGTCTTTGATGTGGTTCACTAGATTGTTGTACTCAAAGAGGCGATCAAAGGCACGTACACAGCCCATCCTCGTCTCGTGAATACATGTACACCTTGATATTCCATGTCGGATGTTTCAGGCGAAAAATCTTTAAACATATTTACCAAGTTTCGATACTGTACAAGTATATCGTTGGTGTAGTCGAGTTCCATAACCTTGAGTAGTTTCGAGTCGGGAAAAACCAATCTTGGATTTATGTTTACACGAACGTCACACTGTAGTTCCACTGCGTCTTATATTGAAGTATTCCACGTATCCTTTCAAGTGTCCTCAAGTATTCCTCCTTTAGTGGCGGCGTGATGACCGAAATTACTTCTTCTGACATGGTGTTTCACTTTGAGCACCCAGACTGGATTAATTAAAAATACACGAACGAAAGCAATTTATACTGTAATCTTATGTATCGTTCAATTCTCAATACACATCGGCTACACTACCGAAGCTTCCGAAACCATCATAACGTTTTACAACAGAACGACATATCTCCTCGCACTGATCGACGCTGTCAAGACAAGTTATAACGACATTCGTATGAAGACCATACTAAAGTATTTTCTCCAATACGCAGAGGATATTAATTTTTACCATCCATCTGTGGAGAAGAATGCTCTCACTGAACTTAAACAGATCACACGCAGCCAAGTACACAGCGATATACTGAAACTAATGTTGAAGCGCAAAGAGCTACAGAATACGATCGTAATAGTCTACCTCTCTTCGAACATTTTCCAAACAGATCAGTTTCTTGTGAATTTGTTGTCCCGGATCAAAAGTGTAAAATCAGCTCATTAGTCAATATGGACAAATCATGCTCAAAGGTAAAGCGCAACTACCAGTTAACAGATACCATTTGGCCGCTTACGGGTCGTGACCAAAGTGGAAAAATAGTTCAAACTCAATTCTTATTTATATATCCGCTCTTTCATAATGAATAAGTCTCTCCAGGATGGTCTTTAACCCGCCCACTTTACTCAATTATACGAGCGCAGACTTGTACGCTTACGAGCGTCGCAAGATTTAACAGTACAACTTTTTCCTTCGCTTCCGACCCGAGATTATGTCACATACCTACATTGAGATCTCATACAATACGTGTGGTCCTACCGATGAGCCCCGCATGTTTAAGTCAAGACTACGGAATGAAGGCGATGACAAGGATGCCGAAACGAAGGACGAACAATACCCCCAGGCACCGTTTCTCATATACAGTCACCGACAGTGTGCGTATACGGTGCACGATAATGGGCTCTTTGCTTTGGGTGTGGACGACTATGCACGCACAGACAACCACCCCTTGCCACGTGTCGATACAATAGGTATCGGTTTTCACTACATCGACAGCGGAAACTTTTTCGAACGCACAGACTTTTCAGAGGCGGACAACCAACCCTTCACGGATATCGAAGGTAACGAGTCTTTTCGCTCCAACGTCAACAAATACTACTGTGATGATTTTCGGCTCAAGTTTGACGGGCGCGAGTGCTATGCGAGTGCTGGCGAGAAAGTGTTTAGTTTCCTGGTCAGCTGGGCACTCTACAATGTATGCCAGTACGAAGTACGTTATGCGGCCACAGGGGTCACAAACACCGATGTGCAAAAACTCAGCTTACCACCAATCAAGTACAAGGTACGCCATCAGACCCTCAATAGTTGGAAGTTCAAGGCCATTGTCGAGAACTTAGGCGAAGTTGAGGCCATGCTGATGTTTTGCTACCTGCTCGTACTCGCGCAACTTGGCCAAGCTTTCATCCCAATTTTCTCGAGGACACCGTCACACCCACACTGCTGCACATAGCCGAAAGTGTATTTCTCACACAGTCGTACCATCCGGCCATACGAATGTTTACTCGTACCCTAGCCAAAGTGACTCGCACATCGGCAAGTTTCATCAAAATGGTGGACGTGGTGACAACGGTAGCCGGTGTTCTTGATCTCTTCGATATTGGTTTTGATTTTTTCAATATGAACAAGATAATGGATACAGGCACAATACAACAGTATAGGAAACAGGACGTTGCGCAAGGCGTACGGCTGCGGCACCGTCGAGTACTCACCCGTGAGCTTCATTGCAGATGTGCGAGTACCTCAAGCTGCACGAAAAGTGGAAGACGACATCGAATACCGGTAAATACTCTAACGAGGAACCAGTCACTGAGGAGTCTGTCACCGGTAGTGGTGAATACTCCAGCGAGGAACCCATCACCCACAGGGATGAATACTCGAACAAATATGTCGGTACAGAAAGCAGCACCGTTATGAAGACATAGAGTCCACCTTTCCAGACTACACAGAGGACAACGATGTGCATATGGAACCCATGAATCCCTCCACTATCTTGCGCATCTCCACTCCGTCAGTCATTTACGACAAAGAGAACCAAAAGTTTATCGAATTTTATAGAAAATTTTGTCTTGAGACAAAGTTTTATAGAAAATTTTGTCTTGAGACAAAGTTTTATAGAAAATTTTGTCTTGAGACAAAGTTTTATAGAAAATTTTGTCTTGAGACAAAGTTTTATAGAAAATTTTGTCTTGGGACAAAGTTTTATAGAAAATTTTGTCTTGAGACAAAGTTTTATAGAAAATTTTATCTTGAGACAAAGTTTTATAGAAAATTTTGTCTTGAGACAAAGTTTTATAGAAAATTTTATCTTGAGACAAAGTTTTATAGAAAATTTTGTCTTGAGACAAAGTTTTATAGAAAATTTTGTCTTGAGACAAAGTTTTATAGAAAATTTTGTCTTGAGACAAAGTTTTATAGAAAATTTTGTCTTGAGACAAAGTTTTATAGAAAATTTTGTCTTGAGACAAAGTTTTATAGAAAATTTTGTCTTGAGACAAAGTTTTATAGAAAATTTTGTCTTGAGACAAAGTTTTATAGAAAATTTTGTCTTGAGACAAAGTTTTATAGAAAATTTTGTCTTGAGACAAAGTTTTATAGATAATTTTGTCTTGAGACAAAGTTTTATAGAAAATTTTGTCTTGAGACAAAGTTTTATAGAAAATTTTGTCTTGAGACAAAGTTTTATAGAAAATTTTGTCTTGAGACAAAGTTTTATAGAAAATTTTGTCTTGAGACAAAGTTTTATAGAAAATTTTGTCTTGAGACAAAGTTTTATAGAAAATTTTGTCTTGAGACAAAGTTTTATAGAAAATTTTGTCTTGAGACAAAGTTTTATAGAAAATTTTGTCTTGGGACAAAGTTTTATAGAAAATTTTGTCTTGAGACAAAGTTTTATAGAAAATTTTGTCTTGAGACAAAGTTTTATAGAAAATTTTGTCTTGAGACAAAGTTTTATAGAAAATTTTGTCTTGAGACAAAGTTTTATAGAAAATTTTGTCTTGAGACAAAGTTTTATAGAAAATTTTGTCTTGAGACAAAGTTTTATAGAAAATTTTGTCTTGAGACAAAGTTTTATAGAAAATTTTGTCTTGAGACAAAGTTTTATAGAAAATTTTGTCTTGAGACAAAGTTTTATAGAAAATTTTGTCTTGAGACAAAGTTTTATAGAAAATTTTGTCTTGAGACAAAGTTTTATAGAAAATTTTGTCTTGAGACAAAGTTTTATAGAAAATTTTGTCTTGAGACAAAGTTTTATAGAAAATTTTGTCTTGAGACAAAGTTTTATAGAAAATTGTGTCGTGAAACAAATGACACAAAGAACATTTTGTCTTGACATAAAGTTTTATAGAAAATTTTGTCTTGACATAAAGTTTTATAGAAAATTTTGCCTTGAGACAAAGTTTTTTAGAAAATTTTGCCTTGAGACAAAGTTTTATAGAAAATTTTGTCTTGAGACAAAGTTTTCTAGAAAATTTTGTCTTGAGACAAAGTTTTCTAGAAAATTTTGTCTTGAGACAAAGTTTTCTAGAAAATTTTGTCTTGAGACAAAGTTTTATAGAAAATTTTGTCTTGAGACAAAGTTTTATAGAAAATTTTGTCTTGAGACAAAGTTTAATAGAAAATTTTGTCTTGAGACAAAGTTTTATAGAAAATTTTGTCTTGAGACAAAGTTTAATAGAAAATTTTGTCTTGAGACAAAGTTTTATAGAAAATTTTGTCTTGAGACAAAGTTTTATAGAAAATTGTGTCGTGAAACAAATGACACAAAGAACATTTTGTCTTGACATAAAGTTTTATAGAAAATTTTGTCTTGACATAAAGTTTTATAGAAAATTTTGCCTTGAGACAAAGTTTTTTAGAAAATTTTGCCTTGAGACAAAGTTTTATAGAAAATTTTGTCTTGAGACAAAGTTTTCTAGAAAATTTTGTCTTGAGACAAAGTTTTATAGAAAATTTTGTCTTGAGACAAAGTTTTATAGAAAATTTTGTCTTGAGACAAAGTTTAATAGAAAATTTTGTCTTGAGACAAAGTTTTATAGAAAATTTTGTCTTGAGACAAAGTTTAATAGAAAATTTTGTCTTGAGACAAAGTTTTATAGAAAATTTTGTCTTGAGACAAAGTTTTATAGAAAATTTTGTCTTGAGACAAAGTTTTATAGAAAATTTTGTCTTGAGACAAAGTTTTATAGAAAATTTTGTCTTGAGACAAAGTTTTATAGAAAATTTTGTCTTGAGACAAAGTTTTATAGAAAATTTTGTCTTGAGACAAAGTTTTATAGAAAATTTTGTCTTGAGACAAAGTTTTATAGAAAATTTTGTCTTGAGACAAAGTTTTATAGAAAATTTTGTATTGAGGCAAAGTTTTATAGAAAATTTTGTCTTGAGACAAAGTTTTATAGAAAATTTTGTCTTCAGACAAAGTTTTATAGAAAATTTTGTCTTGAGACAAAGTTTTATAGAAAATTTTGTCTTGAGACAAAGTTTTATAGAAAATTTTGTCTTGAGACAAAGTTTTATAGAAAATTTTGTCTTGAGACAAAGTTTTATAGAAAATTTTGTCTTGAGACAAAGTTTTATAGAAAATTTTGTCTTGAGACAAAGTTTTATAGAAAATTTTGTCTTGAGACAAAGTTTTATAGAAAATTTTGTCTTGAGACAAAGTTTTATAGAAAATTTTGTCTTGAGACAAAGTTTTATAGAAAATTTTGTCTTAAGACAAAGTTTTATAGAAAATTTTGTCTTGAGACAAAGTTTTATAGAAAATTTTGTCTTGAGACAAAGTTTTATAAAAAAGTTTGTCTTGAGACAAAGTTTTATAAAAAAGTTTGTCTTGAGACAAAGTTTTTTTGTCTTGAGACAAAGTTTTATAGAAAATTGTGTCGTGAAACAAATGACACAAAGAACATTTTGTCTTGACATAAAGTTTTATAGAAAATTTTGTCTTGAGACAAAGTTTTATAGAAAATTTTGTCTTGAGACAAAGTTTTATAGAAAATTTTGTCTTGAGACAAAGTTTTATAGAAAATTTTGTCTTGAGACAAAGTTTTATAGAAAATTTTGTCTTGAGACAAAGTTTTATAGAAAATTTTGTCTTGTTTATAAAAAATTTTGTCTTGAGACAAAGTTTTATAGAAAATTTAGTCTTGAGACAAAGTTTTATAGAAAATTTTGTCTTGAGACAAAGTTTTATAGAAAATTTTGTCTTGAGACAAAGTTTTATAGAAAATTTTGTCTTGAGACAAAGTTTTATAGAAAATTTTGTCTTGAGACAAAGTTTTATAGAAAATTTTGTCTTGAGACAAAGTTTTATAGAAAATTTTGTCTTGAGACAAAGTTTTATAGAAAATTTTGTCTTGAGACAAAGTTTTATAGAAAATTTTGTCTTCAGACAAAGTTTTATAGAAAATTTTGTCTTCAGACAAAGTTTTATAGAAAATTTTGTCTTCAGACAAAGTTTTATAGAAAATTTTGTCTTCAGACAAAGTTTTATAGAAAATTTTGTCTTCAGACAAAGTTTTATAGAAAATTTTGTCTTCAGACAAAGTTTTATAGAAAATTTTGTCTTCAGACAAAGTTTTATAGAAAATTTTGTCTTCAGACAAAGTTTTATAGAAAATTTTGTCTTCAGACAAAGTTTTATAGAAAATTTTGTCTTGAGACAAAGTTTTATAGAAAATTTTGTCTTGAGACAAAGTTTTATAGAAAATTTTGTCTTGAGACAAAGTTTTATAGAAAATTTTGTCTTGAGACAAAGTTTTATAGAAAATTTTGTCTTGAGACAAAGTTTTATAGAAAATTTTGTCTTGAGACAAAGTTTTATAGAAAATTTTGTCGTGACACAAATGACACAAAGAACATTTTGTCTTGACATAAAGTTTTATAGAAAATTTTGTCTTGACATAAAGTTTTGTAGAAAATTTTGTCTTGACATAATGTTTTATAGAAAATTTTGTCTTGAGACAAATTTTAATAGAAAATTTTGCCTTGAGACAAAGTTTTCTAGAAAATTTTGTCTTGAGGCAGAGTTTTATCGAACATTTTGTATTGAGACAGAGTTTTATAGAGAATTTTTTCTTGAGACAAAGTTTTATAGAAAATTTTCGATTTTTTATAAGAAATTTTGACATTCTTTTCTTTTCTTAACTATTGGTAATATCGAAATGGAAATAATCTGTAGAACTAAAAACTGTAGTCAATAGTTTGTTATAGTTTTTAATAAATGTTCGATTTTTATTCTTTATAAGATCATCATGGTTACACAAAAGGCACTTATTCACTTAATGAATGTTAAATAATGAAATGTTAAAAATATAAAAACTTACGTCTAATAACGTAATTAAATGTTATTTAAAAAATAATTTGATCATAATAAGTACAAAAAAAGTTAAATTTGCAAATTTTCTTCGAAATTTCTTAAGGTTACGTATAGACAAACATAGAAATGCATGCGTTAATTAGATTTTTATTTCCCGTAGAAAAGATATCTCAAATTTCTTAATAGTTAATAATATAAAATATATAAATTAATAATATAGTTAACCATAGTTAATTAAATAAATGGAAAACCAAGTCTATTTTAATTAAATATGTTCGAGTGCTCAAGTCTTTAAACTTTTGAGACGTCTGGCTGTGGTATGCAGATCCCAGTCGTATTTTAGTAGATATTCCACCGTCTCTGGTAAATCCAAATTCATGTCGTTTAGTATATTTTGTAGTTTAATGATCTTAATGGCCTTATGGACATCCCAGTCTATGAATTCCAAAGATTTTAAGCAGCGTTCGGGAAAGCTCTGGTAGTAAAATAAGAAATTATGTTTTATACTTTTAAGAATTTAGGAAAATTAATGTCATACTCACATCCTTTCCCAAAACCTTCATCATTATGCGTACTTCATCCGAGTCTACTCCTCTCTCATGACCTTTAGGTTTTTTATCGGAAAACTCTAGTAAATCCTCGCAACTAACGGAATTGCAATCGTTTAGACGATTAACTGCTGCCGAAAATAATTCTGCTTCGGTTAGGGGTTTAACCAAATCCGTTTTAAGTGTTGCATCATCTGCATCTGTAGTTTTAGTCATGGCTTGTTCTACAGATTGTCGTACTTTCTTGAAGAGAGCATTGCCCGCAAGCTCATTATCCGCCTTTAAGGGTTTCGTTGCTGTTGTTGTTGAGGTTTTAGCTAAAAATTCCGCCGATGTTGTTGCCACTACAGAGGGCGGTATTTGATCAAAGCTTTCTTCGGTAATTTCTATGGTGGTTTTGGGTAAATCTTTAGGTTTTTCCTCTGTCACAGACACTTTATTATCCAAACTTTCACTAGATTTTTTATTATCCGTATTCTGTTTATTAAGTTTGGCCATACTTTTGTCAATATCTAAATTCCTTAGTTCATCTTCATTCACATATAAACCACTTGCTAGTTTTTGAGCATCAAAGTCCACTTCTTTACTCTTGTGATAGTGATCCTTTTGTATGGAGAAATTGTAAAAACCATCGGTAACATCGGGAGATTGTAAAACTTGATCTTTATTTGAATCCGCCTCCAAAATAGATTCGAACTGTAAAGAGGCTGTATCATCGGAGCCTATATTCTGATAGGTTCTTTCTTCTTTGCTAGAGTCACCTTGGAGTTTCGAAGTATTTTCATATTCTGCCATATTATTATTGTTGATATTAAAAGGTTTGACTGTGGACAAGTTGCGCTGATTAGAATTTGCTGTTGTGTTAGTTTTAAGCAATGAGGTTTTATCTTCATCACCCATGACTCTATTGAGGGTTCGTTGCACCCCATTTGCCGGTATGATTAAAGGATACTTGCGTACATGACGTTTGGGATTAGCCTGTATATGTTTTTTACCCTCTTTGGGTGGCAAAACTGGCAAAGAATTTGACTCTCCTTCCTGGTTTGGCGAAGTTGTGGTTTGTTCTGGAAATTTATATGAAGTACTGGTAACATAACTAGGACTTTCACAGGGTGATATATTATCACCCATACGATTATTTAATGCTGGATTGCTGTTCATATCCATGGCATGATTGGCATCTTTTAACAAACCCAACTCAGCTTTCCGCAAACGATTAGCGGCGCCTCGTGTGGGTAAGGTGGTAGGTCGTGGTGCATTTTGTATAGGCGGTATTACCAAATCATGTTCATTTGCTGCCGATCTCAAGGGTATCGTGGATATAAATTCATCACTATCATTTTTCAAATGACACGAACGTCTTGGCAATGTCTTGGACGACTTCAAGGGAAACTGTGTCGCCTCCTGTTTTCTCAACAGGCATGCGGTTGTATCGATATCCATGGTGTGTTTACGTTCAATTAAGCTATTGTAAGCTTCACGTCCCTCATCACCGATAATGGCCTAAAAGTTATCATGCAGAAGAGTTGAAAGAAAACAAAAAATGGGGGAAAACAAAAATGAAAACATAAGAAACAAAATAATGTATAAGTAGGGAAATAAAAAATGTAATAAAGCAAACTAAAAGTAAAAGCAAAAGTGGAACAATATTGAATCCTATTTTAATTACAGGAAGTATAATTGAACTGAACTAGAACTGAACCTAAAACTGAACTAATGAACTATAACTGAAATAGAACTAGAACTAGAAATGACTAGAACTGAACTAGAACTGAACTAGAAACTGAACTAGAAACTGAAACTAGAAACTGAACTAGAACTGAACTAGAACTGAACTAGAACTGAACTAGAACGAAACTAGAACTGAACTAGAACTGAACTAGAACCTGAACTAGAAACGAACTAAGAACTGAACTAGAACTGAACTAGAACTGAACTAGAACTGAACTAGAACTGAACTAGAACTGAACTAGAACTGAACTAGAACTGAACTAGAGTGAGTGGGGGTGTGAGGCTAGGGCAACTGAACTAGAACTGAACTAACGAACTAGAACTAGAACTGAACTAGAACTGAACTAGAACTGAACTAGAACTGAACTAGAACTGAACTAGAACTGAACTAGAACTGAACTAGAACTGAACTGAACTAGAAACTAGAACTGAACTAGAACTGAACTAGAACTGAACTAGAACTGAACTAGAACTGAACTAGAACTGAACTAGAACTGAACTAGAACTGAACTAAACTGAACTAGAACTGAACTAGAACTGAACTAGAACTGAACTAGAACTGAATTAGAACTGAACTAGAACTGAACTAGAACTGAACTAGAACTGAACTAGAACTGAACTAGAAATGAACTAGAACTGAACTAGAACTGAACTAGGACTGAACTAGAACTGAACTAGAAATGAACTAGAACTAGAACTGAACTAAAACTAGAACTGAACTAGAACTGAACTAGAACTGAACTAGAACTGAACTAGAACTGAACTAGAACTGAACTAGAACTGAACTAGAACTGAACTAGAACTGAACTAGAACTGAACTAGAACTGAACTAGAACTGAACTAGAACTGAACTAGAACTGAACTAGAACTGAACTAGAACTGAACTAGAACTGAACTAGAACTGAACTAGAACTGAACTAGAACTGAACTAGAACTGAACTAGAACTGAACTAGAACTGAACTAGAACTGAACTAGAACTGAATTAGAACTGAACTAGAACTGAACTAGAACTGAACTAGAACTGAACTAGAACTGAACTAGAACTGAACTAGAACTGAACTAGAACTGAACTAGAACTGAACTAGAACTGAACTAGAACTGAACTAGAACTGAACTAGAACTGAACTAGAACTGAACTAGAACTGAACTAAAACTAGAACTGAACTAAACTGAACTAGAACTGAACTAGAACTGAACTAGAACTGAACTAGAACTGAACTAGAACTGAACTAGAACTGAACTAGAACTGAACTAGAACTGAACTAACTAGAACTGAACTAGAACTGAACTAGAACTGAACTAGAACTGAACTAGAACTGAACTAGAACTGAACTAGAACTGAACTAGAACTGAACTAGAACTGAACTAGAACTGAACTAGAACTGAACTAGAACTGAACTAGAACTGAACTAGAACTGAACTAGAACTGAACTAGAACTGAACTAGAACTGAACTAGAACTGAACTAGAACTGAACTAGAACTGAACTAGAACTGAACTAGAACTGAACTAGAACTGAACTAGAACTGAACTAGAACTGAACTAGAACTGAACTAGAACTGAACTAGAACTGAACTAGAACTGAACTAGAACTGAACTAGAACTGAACTAGAACTGAACTAGAACTGAACTAGAACTGAACTAGAACTGAACTAGAACTGAACTAGACCTGATAGAACTGAAATAGAACTGAAATAGAACTGAACTAAACTGAACTAGAACTGAACTAGAACTGAACTAGAACTGAACTAGAACTGAACTAGAACTGAACTAGAACTGAACTAGAACTGAACTAGAACTGAACTAGAACTGAACTAGAACTGAACTAGAACTGAACTAGAACTGACAGAACTAGAACTGAACTAGAACTGAACTAGGAACTGAACTAGAACTGAACTAGAACTGAACTAGAACTGAACTAGAACTGAACTAGAACTGAACTAGAACTGAACTAGAACTGAACTAGAACTGAACTAGAACTGAACTAGAACTGAACTAGAACTGAACTAGAACTGAACTAGAACTGAACTAGAACTGAACTAGAACTGAACTGGAACTGAACTAAAGTTATCTAGCAAAATTGCATTTAAATTAAAGTCTATTGACCTAAATTGGTAATTATAATGCATACATGGGAGTAGTTAATTATATCGACTAATTAATTGACGATTTCATTAGCATTAAATTGAAAAAAAATTATAATTATTTTTTTTTTTCATTAGCATTATTTTGTCTAATGGTAATGGTTTTTAATGAAACGATTTCATTAGTAATTATTTCAAAATAATTTTCATTACCATTATTCAATGGATTTTAAAAATTTTCGAACATTAGTTAGGATTTCGAAATTAATTTCGAATATCCGAACATTACAATGTATTGTCATTAGGTGAAATCATGTATGCCAAATTTCATCACATTCGGACTAAAAGAACTAGTTTTAACAGCTTTAAAAATTTTTCGAACACGAGTTCGAATTTTCGAAATTTTTTTTTTTAGGTTTTATGACACAGAGATTAATTTAAAAACATAAAAAATTTTTCGAAAATAACTTCGAATTTTCGAACTTAATTTCGAATATTCGAACATATTATTGTATTGTCATCAGATGTACTTATGACTGCAAAATTTCAGCCAATTTGGGCTACGGGAACTGGTTTTAAAAGCTTTCAAACCTCGAATCTTCGAAAAATTTTTCTTAATATATTTTTCGACAATTATAAATACTAATTAAATTCGTTTTTGAAAATTCATTATCAAATTCATTACCATTATCAAAAAAAGTTATAATGAAAAAAATATAATTTTCATTAAATGGTACTTAAAATATTTTCATTACAATTTTTTCTATAAATGGTAATGAAATTTTAATGCTTAATGAAAAATTCCCATGTATGATATAATGGTATTAAGTGGGCACTGATAGGTGTTATTTATATAGAATTTTGACCCGTTTCTATTTCAGAAGTTTTGTTACGAACCGAATGTAAATAATTAAAACTTGCATATTATTAAAGGGTTATAATAACTTTTTGATATTTATTATTTTGTTTCAATATAACTTTTTGTTTTAAATAATTTATAGAAAAATGTTTGTTTAATGTTTTTCTTGTTTAATTTAAAATACAATTCCACAATGAAATGTTTTTTTTTTTTTTTTTTTTTTGTAAAATATTAAGATTTTTGTTAAGAGTAATTTATTAAAGATTCTATAATATAGAATCTTAAATAGTATATAATTATATATGAGTAGATAATAAATATATGTATTTATGTATTTATGCAGCAAACACGAGAGGAATTATTATTTTTAATATTTTTCTTTTGTTGTATTAAATAGTTAATTATTTATTTTTTTTATGCATTTATGCAAGTATGTATGTTTATTGTATGTATAATAATTGTAATAATATCATAATTTTAGAATTGAATATATCGGTTTAGTTTAGTTATAAGCTGGTGTAAGTTAGAATATTTTTTAGATTTTGTTTTTTCAATTTCATATTGGAGTATATTTTGGACATTAGCTCAGGATGTATTAAGAGGTTTGATTTGATTTTAAATTGTTCATTTTCTTTTTTGGTTTGTTTAAGATTAGAATAAGTCTTGAGGTATGATTAATTATACATATTTTAAGTTTAAGAACTCATAAGTTTTATGAAAAGAAAACGATATTATCAGTCAAAGAGTGCGTATGAAATGTTATGAAAAGCACGTTTATAAAATACCAAGAAAAGGATATCATTTGGCTATAGAAGCTTTTTTAATTAAAGTATAATTAATATAATTATTTTTCATGAAACACTTATTACGTTAATAAATGTAATTTGATTAAAAATCTAAAAAAATAAAATTTATAGCACAACCTTAATTACTAACTTTTCATTGGTAAAGAGATTTGATTTTATAAAACATAGTTTTACTAAGGCGAACACATATTTTAAAAATACACAAAAATTTTTTCAAAAAAAATATATGTATAAAAAATCTCATAAAATATGAAGCTAATAACAAAAATTGCGGGATAGAACTAGAACAGAACGAAAACTGAACTAGAACTAGAACTGAACTAGAACTGAACTAGAACTGAACTAGAACTGAACTAGAACTGAACTAGAGCTGAACTAGAACCGAACTAGAACTGAACTAGAACTGACTAACTAGAACTGAACTAGAACTGAACTAGAACTGAACTAGAACTGAACTAGAACTGAACTGAACTGAACTAGAACGACTGAAACTAGAACTGAACTAAACTAGAACTGAACTAAACTAGAACTGACACTAGAACTGAACTAGAACTGAACTAGAACTGAACTAGAACTGAACTAGAACTGAACTAGAACTGAACTAGAACTGAACTAGAACTGAACTAGAAATGAACTAGAGGAACTAGAACTGAACTAGAACTGAACTAGAACTGAACTAGAACTGAACTAGAACTGAACTAGAACTGAACTAGAACTGAACTAGAACTGACTAGAACTGAACTAGAACTGAACTAGAACTGAACTAGAACTGAACTAGAACTGAACTAGAACTGAACTAGAACTGAACTAGACTGAACTAGAACTGAACTAGAACTGAACTAGAACTGAACTAGAACTGAACTAGAACTGAACTAGAACTGAACTAGAACTGAACTAAACGGAACTAGAACTGAACTAGAACTGAACTAGAACTGACTAGAACTGAACTAGAACTGAACTAGAAACTGACTAGAACTGAAGCTAGAACTGAACTAGAAACTGAACTAGAACTGACTAGAACTG